ACTTGTTTCTAGTAGCTTCTTGTTCCTAGTAGCGATGCCAGGAGCCCTAGTAGCGTCCTTGCTCACAGCTGAAACTTCGACAGACTTCGTCGGCTCGTTATCTCCGTCTGCTTTGCCTCGTGATAATTCACGTCCGCCGGCCAGCTCCACTGCATATCGATCTCCTGGTACATGGTCAAACCAAACAAAGCAGTACCAAACCAAAATGCTAGAATGAAGTTTGGCCAGAAGACTCCAGGTCTACACCAGATTCAACATAACTCCACGTGCTTCAATGGCTATGGCTATGTCTGTTTCGGCAATGGCTATGTCTCGCTGTGCCTTGTTTACGCCTCATTTCCCTCACCTCGAAGATGGTCCGGAGCTTGAACTGCATTGAGCCCTGTGGCCTCGGCAGTCGAAAAAATTAGAAAGCACAAAATGTCTTGAAAAGATCATACGAAAGTAAAAAGACTCGTGTGGGCATAATAGCGATGGCCTCCTGCGTTATTTAATTGCAAAAATGGGTTGACTCAATTACACTAAATTCGAACTAAAATTAGACTAAATTTTGAATGAAACTCTAATTTAATCTACACTCATTTCTTAGCAGCTTGGGCTGTGACCCATCCTGCACCCAAAAGAATGGCCATTTCATGTTGCGGAACTTTCTCCAGTTCCAGCCATCCTCTGACCTGATAGCAGAAAGCAGCGCAAAACTGCCGAGTAAAAAAATATCGACCAAAGTGTTACTGCCGAGCATCCCACCAGTACTTCTGAGTTCGGTAGCCACCAGCTGCCACAAAGTGCCAGAACTCACCTAGTCCAAAAACATACAAAAAACAATTCGACTGGACTGGACCGTCTTCCTGCGTCTGCCTCGTGTCAGCTGCCGATCCTCCAACCCATCCACATCTTGCAAATATCGATTCTCGACAAAGATGTCTGTCGGAGGTCATAAATCGATACTAGGGCTCCTGGCCTTACTACTAGGAGCAAGAACGCTACTAGGGGTTCCTGGCACCGCTACTAGGAGCAAGGATCCTACTAGGGGCTCCTGGCATCGCTACTGAGAGCAAGAACGGCGCTCCTGGCATCGCTACTAGGAGCAAGGACGCTACTAGGGGCTCTTCGCCTTACTACTCGGAGCAAGAATCAAGAACGCTACTAGGGGCTCCTGGCCTTACTACTAGGAGCAAGGACGCTACTAGGGGCTCTTGGCCTTACTACTAGGAGCAAACATGCTACTACGGGCTCCTGGCCTTACCACTAGGAACACGCTACTAGGGGCTCTTCGCCTTACTACTAGGAGCAAGAACGCTAC